GAAGCGGCTACTGCACTCCAGTCTGGGTGACAGAGTGAGACTCCAACTCAAAAAAGAAAGAAAGAAAGAAAGAAATGGGGCTTGGGGTCATCAGAGCCTCCACTTCTTTGTCAGTTGGCCTTGGATAGATCTAGTAGCCTCTCTGAGCCTCAGTTTCCCCATTTGTTCTGTGGAGAGCCCCCGTCTGCACAGAGCTGGTGAAAGGGAAGACATTTGTGGATATAACAGCTCTGGGCACAGTGGGTGTAACCCACAGGGGCCCATGGGAGGCAGGGCAGGTGGTAGGTGCTCATATCACAGATGAGGTCACTGAGACACTGAAGGGTCAGCTGGGCCAGGTCCTGGGGGCCTTGAATGCCAAGCCGGGAAGCTTGAGGTTATTCTAGAGGCAATTTGTGTTCCCAAAGTTGGGAAAGAAGATCTGAGACTCAGGATAGGGTAGGAGAATCAGGGAGGGAGAGGAGAACTAAGGGGGCTGTGTCGACAAAGAGGGCAACATAGAGGAGGGGACACCCAGCTTGCCGGATCAGGAGGGTATAGGGTTCTAATGGGGGAAGAGGAGGGTTTTTTTTGACATTCCAGCAAGGGGTGGACTACTCAGGGAAGAGGGAATGGTCCTCACTGGTTTTGAGGTGCCTGTGGGCCAGATGTGGAGCATAGTCAGTGCCCGAGTTGAGTGGGTTGGGACCCAGCTCGGCATTCTGGCATCATGTCAAGAGGGTGGATCTGCCAGGGACCCCAAGAGAAGAGCCAGGAAGGGCCTAAACCTGGGGGAAGGAGAGTTGAGGATGGTCAGATCATCTTTGTCACTGTGCAAGCCTGGTCCTCCTGCCGTGTAGCTCTAAGCAGGTGTGTCCCCCACTCTGGGCCTGTCCCTGTCTATAAAATGGGGGTGCCAGTGGCCACTTGGGGGCTTCTGAGGGCTCTAAAGCTAAAGAAAGTGTGTGAAGTGCCTTGCATACAGCAGGTGTTTAATAAGTGCTGGTTTCCTTCTGCTGCTTTCCACTTGCTCATCTCCTTCCCTCCTGAGAAGCTGGCAGCGCCACTCTCTGTGCAGGGGCGGCGCTGACGGCCTGTCTCCTCCCCAGCTGCTGGCTTTCCCTGGAGGGGGGACTGCTGTACGCCTTCGTGGGACCAGCTGCTGCTGTCGTGCTGGTACTGACCTGCCCGGGTCCCGCGCCTTGTGTCCCAGGCTGGGTCCCTTGCCTCCCTGAGCCTCGGCGCTCTCTCCTGCTCCTGGGCTGGGCTTTGGTTCAGACCTGCTGCTCCTTGGGCATGGCCCTGACCACTAGGGTGCAGGTGATATCACAGCCCCACTCTGGCCTACCCTTAGGGTGTTCGAGTGCAGCGGCTGGACTGGGGTAGTGACCTTTCACATCTATGAGAATCCACTCGCCTGATTATTGGGCACTTACTGTGTACTTGTCAGATCTATGCAAGTTTAGTGAGTGTCGGGTGGAGAGGGATAGGGACAGAGAGACAGATGTGTGCAGGCTGGACCTGGGCCATGAGTGTCCGGCCCCAGAGCCATCAGAGCCCGAGACTGGTGGCCAGTGAGGACCTTCCCTTTCTCAGACCTTGGACTTTCCTTCCTGCCATTCTCCCGCATGTGTGTGGTGAGGAAGGCGAGGCTGTGGCTGATGGCACCCAGGGTTACTGTCCCCAAGTCACAGATGAGCTGGTGCAGCCTGGGGGACTTGCCTGAGATTAGTGAGGTGGCTGGCTTCCGCCCATCCAGTTCTGAGTCCAGCTTGGCCAGCTCCTGCCACCGATCAGGTGGAGTGTCTGGATTTCAGACCCGCCCTCGCCTCCCCTCCCCCTCCTGCCCACGAGAGGGCATCCACGTCCACAGATTCCTGCTGCCCCAAGCGCCTGTCTCTGCAGGGCCACACCCCTTCTAGTGGGGGTTGAGGGAAGCTGGCTCTGCAGGGGATGGGTTGGGGGAGGCTGAGATGGCAGAGGGAGGCAGTTGGGCAGCATCCCTGGGCAGCCCAGACCCCTCCCTGCTGTCCTGGCTGCGGAATCCCAGCTCCTTTATTCCTGAAGGCAATGTCTGTCAATGCCTCAGGTGCCGTTTTACCCTCAGGCACCTGGGGATTGGAGAAAGGGGACAGAAGGAAGTGGAAGCCCCATCCCTGCACATTCTTCCCCAGGACACCTCAAGAGGGCAGAGGCTGATCCTGAACTGCTGAGGTCCCTTAGCCCTCCTGTGCTTGGGGCTTTGAGGGCACAGATCGAGCAGAACCTGCTGCAGGCAGGGTGCCCATTACTGGAGCCCATTCTCCCCGCTGCCCCAGCCATGTCAGAACACGAGGCTGCCCGGGAAAGACTCTTCCACCCACCAGGCCAGCTGAGCCTCCCGTTGGGAACTCTCCATTCCAGCAGCCCTGGAAAAAGGGGCCCTGGGTGTGGAGTCATGAACTCCTGAGCTGTAGGACTGCAGGGTGGGCACCTGGGCCTCTGATCATGGGGTCCCTGGATTATCAGGGTCCCCTAACCTTCAGCTGCAGGAACATGGGCCTGAGGAGTTCAGGTCTTGTGCCTCTGGATCCCAGAAGCTGCCTTCTGTAAGGTGGGGGGCCTCCCAGCGACCCTCTGGGAATGGGGGGCAGGGTGAGGTGTGTACCATCGACCCATATACATGTGGGCAGCCCCAGCCCCCACATCCCCGCCTCTCTTTCCACAGGTGAACATGGTGATTGGGATCCTGGTGTTCAACAAGCTCGTGTCCAAAGATGGTATCACGGACAAGAAGCTGAAGGAGCGGGCAGGGTAGGACCCAGGGCTGCACAGCTTCTCATTCACCTGGAATCAAGGAGACCCAGAGCCCGCCCACCCTAGAGCCCCGGGGGATGGAGGATGCTCCATCACTCAATCCAAGAGTGCAGGGCTGGGGACCCTGGAGCAGGGGGGGAAACTGAAGCACAGTTTCTCTATCTCACCTGTGACAGGGTGGGGCCCTGTAAAGTTCTCAGCAGTTAAATCGATGGATCAGCGAGACCCCGCCTCTGTCAGGGTCACAGGGTAGTTGGAGACACCCTGAGGCCTGAGGCTGGGCGCTTGAGATCCCTGGCCTCCCAATCCCCCACCACAAGGTTTGCTGTGTGACCCCGAGGGAAGATGTCACCCGTCTGTGTAGTTGACTTGCAGTCTTTATGGGGCCTCTATCCTGAGGGGACAGTTCAGGGGACAAGTGGGATAGATGTTCCTCCCACCTGGGAAAACTAGGCATTAGAGATGGCATTAGAGCACTGCCCGTGGACTGGTATAGACACAGGGAGGAGTCACTGGGACGTGTTGCCACTCCACCTTTCGGGGATGGTGGAGGTCGGGGAGCTGACCAAGGCGGACAAGTCCCTCTTCGTCCTACCCCGCCTTCCGAGCCCCCTCACTTCATCTCTGCCTGTTGCTCTGTCTGTGTCCTTGGGCCCTGGCTGGTGTCTGCGTGGGGATATCCCCAGCCCCACCTCCCCTCTGTGCCCGTCTTGCTTGGTGCTCAGTCTCTCTCTGTCTCTGTTTCTTTCTCTCTCTTTCTCTCTTTCTGTCTCTGTCTCTATATCTCTTCCTGACTCCTCCTACTCTCCCCAGTGAACAGAAGCTTCAGGACCCCTTCCCTTTGGGTGCCTGGTGGGTTCTGGTCTTGGTTAGAAACCAGCCAAGCTGGCCTGTATGACCTCTGATGCTGAGTGCCTGCAGTGGCTAGGAGCCTAGCCTTGGGTCCTGTCACCTGGGTTTGAGGCCTAGGTCCGGGTCCTGACTCCTGGGGCCCTGTCTCCTGGTCTGTGAAGTGGAGACTGGAGCAGGCTTCTCTGAGGCCTCACCCTGCCTGTCTCCAGAACACACTGTTGCACACATGCTCCTGAGACAGTAGGTCTTACCCAGAGGAGGTGCCCAGGACTGCACGTTTGGAGTCTGAGTACTGCAGACTGTCTACAGCCACCTAATAGTAAAAGCAGCAATCATCTCGAGTGCTTACCCCGTACCAATCTGTTTTGTTTGCTTCTTAGAATAGCCATTTAGGCAGGTTCTGTTATTATATTTCCATCTTATAGCTGAGTAAACTGAGGCTTAGGAAGGGTGAGTCACTGGTGGAGCTGGAATTGGAGCCCAGTCAGGCAGGTCCTAGAGTCCAGCCATGGGTATCCTGTGTGCTGCCTGCCTTACCCCTGTGGATGCAGCAGATGCCAGCCCAGCAGAGCTGGGTACACACAGCTCAGCAGTGCACCCAGACTCGCTCATGTAGTGTGTGCAGTCCACACTGCCCATGTGGACAGGGAGGCGTCTGGCACACTGGCCTGTACATGCACACCCACACCCGCGGGCATGCCCCTGCCTATGAGGGCCTGCAGAAAGCCCCTGACCAGATCAGCTCCCTTGTCAGGTACACAGGAGGAGGCAGCGATGGCCTCCTTCCAGGGAGTTTGGTACTTGGTGCAAGTGGGTGGCAAAGGGCTGACCCTCAGCTGGGCATGGCACGTGGACACCTGTATAGTCGCCCTCCACACCCAGCCACTACAGCCTGCAGCCCTGCCCTCCACAGCACCCGTGGGCCCAGGCTCAGGCTCATTAGGTGGACAAGAGCCCTCAGGACTGCCCCGTGGGGGGCCCCAGGCCGGACTCCTGTCAGTCGGTTTGCTTTATTTTCCCCCTTGGCTTCCGCGAGAACAGAGTGCTTGCTTTTGTTTCAGCCTTTTAATTTCACTTGCAGTCAGCTGCCCCAGCCCCCCCCCAGGGGCGCCCTCAAGTGTGCCGAGTGTGGAGTCCTCTCTGCCGCCGATGCCACCTCCGACGCCACCAGTAATGCCATGTTAGTGCCTCCGCTGCCACCTCCCGCCTCGGCCCGTCTGCAGGGTTCTACTCTCTTCCGAGTCACCTTTTGTTTGTTTTGTGTTTTTCTTCCATTTCTGCTGTCCACTCTGGGTTTCCTAGGCCGCCCCCTCCCCCAGCTCTGCCCTTCTGTCCTCTAGGCAGGGCCACGGGCCTGGCAGCACAGGACACAAGCAGGCAGCAGGGAGTGGGGCGGGCCTCGAGCAGGTTGTGGCCATGGCAGGGCCAGGCTATGGCTGGGAAGGGGCTGTCCTGTCCCTCCTGGACCCTGATGTGGGGCCGGGTTGTGTGCTAGAGGTTTGCTGGTTCTGGAGTCGCCCCCCTCCTCCATGCCACTGGCACGGAGCCAGACGACAGACGCCGGGGAGGAGTCTCTGCACCTGAGGCTCCCCTGCAGCTCTGTAGTAGGATGAGGGGACAGCTCTGGCCTGCCTGACGGGAAGCCTTCTTCCTCTATGGGTGGTGTGTGCACACAAGCTTGCGCAAGTACTTGTGAGAGAGACCGGTCTTTTGCGTGCAAGGGTATATATGTATATCTATGCATGTGTGAGAATGTGACTGTGTGTGCAAGTGTGTGTGTGTTCAAGTATGTACATGTGTGAGTGTGCATGTGCATGAATATGATCAGGAGTGAGTGTGCGTACATGTATGTGCATGAATGTGGGTATGAGTGTTTGTGTGAATGTCTTGAGTGTGTCTGTGTGTGGGTACTGGATGTGTGCATGTGTGTGTAAGAGAGTATGTCCAGGTTGTGCAGGCGCATGCATTTGAGTGTGCATTTGAGAGTGGGATCAGATGTGTACCTGAGAGGTCACAGGTGTACATGTGTGTGACCAGGTGTGTGCCTGAGCCGTGTGCCCATGGGTGCGTGTTTGTGTGTGTGTGGCTGGTGTGCACCTCGGTATGTGCAAGTGTGTGAGTGTGTACATGTATGTGAGCATTATGTAAGCATGTGGGAGGGAGCATGTTTACATGTGAGTGTGGGAGCACATGTGTGTGAAAGAGTGAGGTGCAGAATGGCTGAGGGAACAAGGATGGGCTCAGGGGTGGCAGCCGCCATGGCTGTGACCAGGGCAGGGCCTTGAGGGTTTGGGTGGGACCAGTTGACCTAGAGGGTCTGTGCTCCCAGCCCGAGAGGTCATCTTGTCCATGTCCTGCTTCCCTCACACACACCTCCAACCCTCCTGCACTTGCTTCCTGGGGCCCAGGGCTCCTCTGGGGCCCAGGGTCTTAGGAACCGTGGGAGAGGGGCACTAGACTGCAGAACTGTGTAACCTAACACAGACACAGGCTCAGGGCCAGGGAATGGCCTGGGTGGGTGGGCCGAGCCAGGAGTGTGGGCTTGCATCTGGTTAGGTCACACAGTTCCTTGTGCTGGGATCTACACTAGCCCCTGAATCCCCAGGGAGTGACCCATTCTCTGGGGTTAGCATTGCCCTTTCTTTTTCTTAGTATCAATTTTTGTGGATGGGGGCTACAACCAGGCAGGGGGGCATGGGAGTTAGCAAGCCCCCTAAGGAGTACACTTGTAGTTCTGTCATCAAGGAGTGGGGCCAGAGGGGAGTTACCTGCGAAGTCATGCAGCAGGCCAGAGGCCGTGGCCCTCCCTGCCTATACCTGAGTCTTTTCCTTCTGTGCCAGAGCCATCTGATACCCCAAGGGGAGGTGCAGCTCTGGGGTACCCCCCCTCTTCCTCCCTCGCTCCTGTACCACCCTCTGCAGAAGTGTTTCAGAAGCTGCAGAGGCTGGGCCAATTTACTGGTCCTCAACTCCGGGCCATCTGCCAGCTTCAGAAGGATTGGGCTGTAAATGCAAGCCTGGAGGCCCAGCCCCCCGCTGCCAGGGAGGCAGCGGAAGGAGGACTTATAGCTCCTGAGAAGTCTTCATGGGTGGAGAGGCTCTGAGCCTCCTCCCTCAGCACTTAGGTGAGGAGAGAGTCCAGGGTCGCAGCTCAAAGAACATCTGCCTTGAAAGGGAGGAGAGAGATTATCCAGCACCAACACCATGAGGGTCCCACTCAAAGTGTCAGTGAGTCATTCCCCATAACTGTATAAATATTTATGGAGGGCCTGCTTGTCTCAGGCTCTGTGCCAAATGCAGGGAAACATCAGTGAGTACACAGACCGGAGGCCTGCCCACCACCACAGTCCGGAGGGGAGTTGCCCTGTCTTTGGGTCAAGGAAGGCTTCCCTGGCCCCCCACTCGTCAGCACTGAGGGGTGGGTCGGGCAGAGGCAGGCTCTCCAGGACTGGCAGAAGGACTCAGGAGACACCAGTTGTCCATGGCAGAGGGAAGTCCTGCAAGGTCACTAGAGCCCATGCAGTGCCTGGAGCAGGAGGGGTGGGTCCTCAGGGTATCTCCAGGCTTCAGCCTGAACCAGAGTGTGGGTGGCCAGGGTAGCTGTCCCCTGAGACCTGGGAGGTGCTGGCTAGGACAGGACCAGGAGATTCATCCTGGGCACTCCTGTGAGGACAGGTGGCTGGTGTCTCAGGCTATGGGCCTACATACGTCCGAGCCTCCTGTAGGTGGTAACAGCCGAGTCTGAGGCAGGCAGCTTCCCTGGGACAGTGTTGCTGGAGAAAACGGGGTCCTGAAGGAGAGTCACGGAGGCAGGTGTGTCCAGAGATAAGGAAAAGGATGGAGGTGCCCCTCATGGCTGGATCCCAAAGGTCCTTCACACTAGAAATGGGAGTAGCATGGGTGGCCTAACCAGGCAGGAGAGGGCTGAGCAGCAGACTGTGCCATTTGGGGGCAGCTAATGCCCTCTGGGATCCCTGCCAAGCTTGCTGGTTTTGGGGGTCCTTATCCTGGCTGGACCCAGGTCTCTCAGCCTCTATCCCACAAGCCCTGCTGCCCCAGCTCCTACCTGATGCCCAACCCCACACCCTGCTCCTCCCCAACTCCATGGTCCTCCTGCCCTGCCACCTCCTGCCTTCAGGGCCACCTCATGTGGGAAGAGGAGAGCAGGTGACCCTGACACCAGCCCCCACCCCGGAGGTAATGACAGTCCGGCATCCCTTGGAGCCCCTTGTGGGCAGGCTCAGGTCCGAAGGTGGGGGTGCAGAACCACAGCGGCTCCTGGGAGTCATGACAGTACCAAGGACAGGATGAGGGCACATCTCCTGTCCCGAGCATCTACTGGCACCAGTCGCCCTGCTGGTGCTGTGTCTTTGTCCACAGGGCCATGAAGCAGCTTGGTGCTCTCTATAAGGATGGGGCAGGCTCAGAGGCACGTGTGGCCGAGGGGCTATGGGGAAGGGCCAGGTCTGCACTGCTCCTGGTGAGGCTGGGCTGCAGGGGCAGGAGCAAGGCCTGCTGAGGGCTCCTGGAGGACCCCCTGGGAGAGGCGGCAGCCTTGAACAGCAGAGGACAAGCCCACAGGCAGGCGTCTGGTGGATCTCAGGAGGGACAGGCGAAGCAGGCCTGCCAAGAGAAGGAAGCACCTATCGGTCTGTCTGTTGCTATCTGTCTTTGTCTCTCCTCTGACCCTCCCCTGCTGGCCTTGTCCGTCTGTCCGTCCTCTGTCTTGTCCCTTCAAGGCTTCTCTTTCCTCCTGGTCTCTGAGTTCTGGGGCTCTGGCCTCGCCAAATGCCCCTTTTTCATGGCCTTCTCATGCTGCCCCTTGCCTGGAGCCTGTGAGCTGAGGGCTCTGGACATTGGGGCCAGCAGAGGCCTCCTCTCCCCATCCAATCCGGACACCCCTTCCCTTCAGCTCACCTCTCCATCCCCTGTCGCCTCCTGGACAATCAGGAGACTGGGTCTCTCCCAAGGAGCACCTCCCACTTGCCCGGTCGATCAGGCTCCTCGGGACCTCCCTTCTGAGTCCCTAGGTCCCTTGGGAGCCCTGGGCTTAGTGCGAGCGAGGTGCTGGGACCGCAGTGTTGACGGAGAGCCTCTCTCCAGTCTGGGGGGTCTCAAGAGAGGGGAGGGCAGAGTGTGGGGAAAGGATGGACGGGAGCTGGGGGAGGAGAGAAATGGGAGACACAGCCTGGGGAAGGGACCCAAGGGAAACACACCCCAGAAAGGATGAGTGGCTTGGCCCCCGCCCCCAGGGACAGAGGTGAAGGCTCGGGGGCTGGGTCCCCACCAAAGCCTCAGGCCATGGCGTCCCCTCCCCTGGGGTCATGGGTGGGGGGGCGGGGCAGCGCTGACGCCCTCCATCCCCAGGGCCTCCCTGTGGAGCTCCTGCGTGGTGCTGCCGCTGCTGGCGCTGACCTGGATGTCGGCCGTGCTCGCCGTCACCGACCGCCGCTCCGCCCTCTTCCAGATCCTCTTCGCTGTCTTCGACTCGCTGGAGGGCTTCGTCATCGTGATGGTGCACTGCATCCTCCGGAGAGAGGTGCGTCATGGCAGGTCCTCACGGAGGCTCTCCTTCAGCTACCTGCTCCCATGGGGTCCTCGGGGCTGCTGTGTGGCCAACAGTCCTTCCCCGAGGCTCTCAGCAGGAAGATTCTGGGGAGGCACAGCGTCCGCGGCCCCCAACGTTTCTGTAGGCTATGCCAGTCCTGGCAGGGTGGGAATTTCCACATTTACTTCATGAGTGTGTTTGGTTGGACTTGTGTCCATCACGCAACCAGGGCTGCTGGGAACCGCTCGCTTGGTATAACAACTTCTTCCTAGGATATCCTGTGGACCCAAGCTGGCTTGGCAGGGTGAGGAGACAGGCACACAGGATTCCCGTTCTCATGGAGCTGTGGGAATGCGGGAGCCAGTACCATATATAGACAGCTTTCAGGACAGCTGAGACTCCTCCTTCTGACATTTCCTGGGCTTTCCCAGAAGGTGTCACTAGAAGCTTTTCTCCAAACTGCAACCTAGCTACCACCTGGCTGTTGACAGTGATGAGGGTGATGTGTCCTGATCTTCCAGAAGTGGAAATGTGGGAAAACATGCATATGGATGTTGATGGACTGACACCTGCCTCTAGATCAGAGCCAGGCTGTGGCTGAAGGCCCAGGAGTGGAGTGGATTACTTCCGTTTCTCTTGAAAGCTAGAAAGATGGCAGAGGGACTCTTGAAAAGCCACAGGTTTGAAAGGATGAAGGGTGAGACAGCAACAGAGCTGGTGGGTGGGAAAGCAGGATGGGAAGGTGATCTCAGCTGACAACCCAGGCTGTAGCCAGCAGGAGCCATGGAAGCAGGACTTCCCCACCCCCTGCTCCAAGACCCCTGGACGCCTAAGGAAAGGTCAGAAGCTGGAGGACTGGTGTTCTACCCTCTTAAGTAGCAGTTCCCATCCCATCCTGGACTGGCAGGACTGCCCGGCCTGGGGCCTCACTGTCCAGGCAGGGTAGACAGAGGCACCTGGCACAGCTGAAGATGGGGGTGTCTCCTGGAAATGGGGGTGGAGGAAGTCATGTGCTGAGCCTTGGTCACCTGTTGGCTCAGGCCCTTCTGGGCCCAAACCTCCCAGGAAAGGTGTAAATGCCCCTCTCCAGGGGCTCTGACCGCCAGGAAGGACAGGAAGAGGAAGACCGACATTCCTGCGTTATCCAGTGAAGTGGCTCCAGTCGAGTCATGATCTGCACTGACATCTGTAGCAGCTGAGAATTAGAGAGCTCCTGTCAGAGACAAATGGGAAAATGAACCGTGGAGACAGAGATGACCCAGAAAGAAGAAACTTCACAGGGCCACTCCTTAACATCCTCTGAGAGGAAACACCCACCCCAAAGCACCATGTGGGCCAGGTCCAGGTGCCAGTAACTTGCTCATGTTAGCGAGTTTCCCAGCAGCCCCATAAAGCAGGTGCCGTTCACCCCAGTTCTATAGATGGGTTGACTCCACTCCAGCGCAGAGCTCATCACTTCAGGGAGGTTTGAAGCCTGGCTCTCTTGCGCTAAGGTCACACTCTTGCCTTCTCGCTGCCCAGCTTCTGTGAAACAAGAACAGCAGCCTATGAAAAAGGAACATTCCAAGAGCAAAAGGAGAGCTTGTGGAAATTAAAAAATATGAGAGTAGTAGCCACAAAGCTCAGCTGGAGGTAGAAGAGGAGTGGTCTCTCACAACATACAAAAGATAGACATTGGGGAGATTTCTAGAACAATCAGGTAAATCTCAAAGGGCCAGCAATGGCTGACAGGAAGTGCAGAAGGAGGTGACAGCAGAGAAACTCATCAAAGGAGGCAGAGCCCAGAACAGGAGGGCAGGTTCTCTGGAGCAGAGGCCCAGCCCTGTGGGATTCAGATGCTTACGCAGCCTCATTGAGAAACTTCAGAACGTGGGGTTGAGGGGTAAGAGAGGACCCCCCTGCTCTCACAGTGGTTGGCAACAGTGGACGCAGTCCACAGTGGAAGAGGGGACCCCTGCAGCCTGTGAGGGCTTTGTACCACGGAGCCTTCAGAAAGTGCTGCCAAAGAGAGGGGTGCTGCTGGGCCGGGTGACAAGGGCCCATGATTCCCACTCGTGTCCTCAGCATTGGTGGCATGGTCAGGGCTACAGAGAGCGTGCTGACGGAGGCATGCCGGGAGGGGCAGGCGGAGGCCATGCCAATCAGCTCTCACCAGCCATGTGGGCATGAAACACCCCTACAGATGGATGAGTAAATCCCTCATTTGTGCCAGTGGAGCCTGGGCCTCGGGGTGAGGCTGGCCCAGGCGCGTTCCTGGAGAGGGTGCAGGAGGGACTTTGGGAGTCTCAGCTCCTCTTCACACCTGCAGAAAACTCACTTTCCTATCTGCCATCTCCTGAACCATGGCCTGCCAGCGACCGGGCACATAGTAGGTGCTCAGTAAACATTTGTGGGGTAGGCCCATGAGGGAGAGGATGGAAGGAGGCTTCCCTGCAGCTGGAGTCCTGGAAGACTTAGCTGGTGTCAGTGGGTCAGAGGCCAGCAAGACCCTGGCTTCTAGGTCTGGCCCTGCCTCTGACCAGCTGTGCGGCTTTGGAAAAGTCTCTTGTCTTCTCTGGGTCTCGGTCTCCATCTGCCTGATGAGAGGGTTGGGCTAAAGGTGCTGGCCCACCCCCCCATAGCCTCACAAATGACAGAACTGGGCTAAGGAGATGGGGCCCAGGGGATCTGTAGGTGGTGTATGTGTGCCTGAGAGCCAGTAACCCCTGGCATGTCCTCTCCCAGCTTCTACTCAGGACACCTTCTCCAGGAAGCCCTCTGTGCTTTCACAGCCCCAGGACCGCCAGCAATTTCCTTTGCATACTGTTGTCCCTGGCCATTAGCTCCAGTGCCTGTCAGCCATAGGAGATAGATGCTCAGCCATTGCTTCCTGTGTCCTTCCTCATACTGACTGGAGGATGTCCTCAGGATAACTGGTCTCCAGCTCCTCTGGCAGATCCTCCACAGACAAGCTCTGTGTCGTGTCTGTAGCCCCCTCCCACAGAGCCTACTGCCTTCGACGCTGGCCTCACGGTGGGTGGCTGTACCTGGAAAAATCCCCTTTGATGGAGCATGTTGCTCTTAGTGCTGTGGCTGGGTGAAGGAGTGGTGCTCACAGTCCTGCGGGCCTAGCACCTACCCACCACCACGGACACTCAGGGTGTGAGGGCCAGGCTTTCCACTAGTTCAGTGGAGGCAGCCGTGGACCGTCAAGGAAGTTGGAGCTTTTGGTGACTCAGAACAGGCTGGAGGCTGAGTAACCCTCTTCAGGCAGACAGCGGCCCCCCCCCCTTTTTTTTTT